TCACGATTTACTGATATTTTGATATAGAATCTAGTTAAAAGCTTCCGATTTTTGATTAAGAGAAATCTTTTTGAAAGCAACGCATTTTCAATAATTTAATATTATTGAAATTTTTATATTTTGGAATTTTGTATTGTATATTCGATTATTCCCTCTATACATAGTTTTCAATGGCACCAAAAGACCTTCCTGCTAGGCAGCGCTAAGCTCGGAGTTCGCTTTGGTTAGGTGGCCATTAATTAATGTGGGTTAAATTAATTAAACGTAATTAGTATACCAAGTGCAAGGCTATAAAAGCAGTTGGGTCAATCAAGTTGAGTGTCAGTACAAATTGTGGATGACTAACGTGATGATAAAATCAATTGTTGTCGTCTTAATAGCAGCTTGTCTAAACACAAGGGCCAAGCAGCTCGATGCAATAACGAAGACAACAACTAGTTGTGATAGCCCAAAATACACTGCAACTGTTCTACTGTACACTCGCATGGAATGGCGCAGGAAATCTCTGGAAAAAGTGTGGGTGCCAAATGCTATGCAATCGGTAGATCTGATCTGCGGTGCACAGATTGCAATTTTGGGTTATACCCTGGCGCTGGTGGCCTTCGTTCTGGAGTGGCTTGTAAGGCGTGCTCAATTTGCATAATTTCAGTTGCTTTCTCACCATGCACTTTGGCTATGTAAATCACTTTTTTATCATACCATTACAATCATCTGCTATAAAAACTTCAGTTTCGTCGTGAGAAAGTGCAGTACCTTGCAGAATGTGCGAAAAGTTGGCAGTCTGCATAGCTGGAGGTACTACAGTTAAAGGTATTTATTGAGCGTGTGCAATAAAAATCGGAACAATAAATGTTTTAGAGTAAGATATTTCATTTGATTCTTGTGCTAATGTTAACAAAGTGTGGGTAAAAAGAGCTAAATAAAATATATAATGGATTTGTCTTAACATATAGCTGTCTTTTGACATATAGCTGCCTGTTGATGGACTAAAGAGCTGCCACATTTGTCTCAAAAGTTTTGTTCTTAATGTTAACTGCGTTTTAGCAGAATAGGCAAAGCTACTGTTAATAACAGCTTGCCAGTTATTGGGAACTGTTAAAATGAACAGATAACTGCAACTAAAGCTGTTATATTCATGTATATTTAGTTTGCCTATAGCACTCAACTGTTCAGCTGACGCTCTGTTAAATACTAAAGCTCTTAATAACAGACCTAAAGTGACTCTGTTTATGGTAATGTGAGCTCGATAATGTTATGAACAGCGCGCCACATATGTTAATCAAAATTTTGTAGAGAACAACTTGCCTTGAACAGTAACTTTATCTACTTGATTCTCACCTAATTTCTTGTTCAACTTTCTCAACCAACCTTGATTTTATTTACTCATTTTGTTTATGTCAAATGACGAATTTCTTAATTCTAGTAATTGAATACAGATAATGTTAGTTATTTATTTAACGCATAACATAAACATAACATGAAATACTAGTTGTAAGTCTCGAATGACAATTGGTGATGAAATTAAGCTGTAAACCGATGGAATAACAATGTGCGCGTGTAATTGTGAAATTAAAGAAGTATCATAATTAATTTATTATTCAGTTAGATAAGAACTCTAGAATAGATATAAAGGTGGGTTTCTGCCAAATAGATTGTCTCTAAGTGCCATGAGTCATGTATGTAATATGCAGATGCGCACTCAAGATAGGAATTTTACCAATTTCAAGCACTCTAAAAATTTCCTAGAATTTCCATATTGTTTTGGCCTATATTATCAAATAGTTCTTGACAGTAAATGACTCAGGTTGAATTCTTGACTATTTCGTTAACAAATGCGCAGCCTGTTGCTATCGAAATTCTCTGCTAAGCTCTATTAAAAGTGCCACTAATTTGGCCCTTGGTTGACCATTTATTTGATTATTACGCTTTTTGTCAATTGTTTGCCCAGAGCACACATAATATTAACCCATTTGGCAGTCGCAATAATTATAGCCCCTTTTGCATTAGCTTTATTAAAAATGAAGCAACCTCTCGATTATATTTCAGCCAGTTATTTTCCGTGTTTCATTTCAATATCGGAAAGCCACTCGACATAGGGTCGTGATATATTCGTTTCAGTGAATTACGAGCTGGCTAACCAAATTCTGCGTAACCAATAAATTTGTTATTTATGAATTAATTTATCTGTGCGTCGTTGAGCAAAACTGATTTTATATTTTATAGCTGTGCGCGAACTCTAAAATGTGCATTTAGTAAGTCATAAAAAAAACCTTAAATAGCATATAAATTTCAAATAGCCAACGGGCCAGGCGCCATAAACTAAAATTGATCGTGTAAAACTTGTTTATAACTATATTATAAATCGAATAATATATATTTCTCCAACTAACACTTATGTGGTTAATGTATTTATGAAGCCTTACACGAGTTAATTGGCTTGTTCTGAGAAATACATTTAATATGACGCGTTAGGAAAAAATTACTAATATTTCCTATTGACAATTATTTAGCTTTACTTTATAGTATATAAAATATTATATACCAATCTTTATAAATTAGAGGAGGTTTTATGTTTGTGTAATAAAATTATCAGAGAGAAATCAATAACCTTTAAAAAAATGAATATAAAAATAAAATACGAAATATTTTGCTGAATAGAGCTCATCAAGCCAGATATTCAACCCATATAATATAATATAAATATATATAAATAAATATAATATATATAATAGTAAAATAGATAAATAAATATTAAAAACTATATATATTATATTTATATTTTAAATGTACTATATATAAATAATACAATAATATAAAAATACATAGTTGAAATATTATTATTTATTATTATTTTATATTTATTTATTGATATATTTATATTTATTTATATTTTATTGTATATATATATTTCTATTTTCTTATTTGCTTATATTTATATCGAGGTAAAATAGATAAAGAATCTTTTAGCTCTACTTAACTTAACTAGACTTTCAGCTGACTTCTTAAATAATGAACCTTAACTTCATTTTGATTCTCTTCTTAAAACGTAGTTTAAATATTTGCCAATTCATGAAGCGTAAACACGAATTGCTTTTTCGCATAATTAAGTTTGCAAATTTTTCTATTATTGGCCGTCAGTCGATTTATAGCCGCATTCTATGGCTTCTCCCGCCACCCGACAACCGCCTCCCACCACCCGACGAAATGGTGAAAGGCATTTTCATAATTGACCAATTTGAACTGAAGAGGTTCAAGTATTAGCGGCACAAACATTTCTCACACATTTCAGATGCGGCAGCAATGTGCCCAAAGGCGCAGTAAATACTTGAAATACACTCAAAACACTCGAAAGTGTTGAATAATTCAGGCAACTTGAGGAACAACAACTCAGTTCCCGGACACAGAGCCGCAGCCTTTGGCCTGTGAATGTCAAAACGAGAAGTAAAAATAATTTGCCAAAAGTTCATTCTGAACAAATAAATACAAGCTAAGAGGTCGGCCAGGCTTCTCGCTTGGCTTACTCGAAAAAAACACCAAATTCATAAAACGGAACTTGTAAAGACGTCGCCAAGTTGTTTCATGCCAGCGGAATTCCAGACATTTCAGTTATTTATTTCGGCATATTAACAACGGAGACAAGCCAGACACAAGCCCAGCCACAAGCCCAGCCACCTCTATACTTCAGTGTGTGTATACACACGCCTGGGGGGCACACTTAAAATTGATTGTAAAATAAATTAAAATCGGAGAAAAACGAAAAAAAAAACACGGCAAATAAATGCGAATGTGAAATGAACATGTAAAGAGCTTTGCCACAAACAGTATAATTTAATTAGCGAACAGTTGTTGGCATTTAATAATTATTTACTTGAAATTTCCGCTGTACTCGCACATATTTCTGTATTTCATACCCTGTGCCCTTTTAAATTGCTTGAAACAGAAAGCTTTTAACTGGCAGCACACACAAATATTGTAGTTCTGGCTAAGAAGGACCTCTAAACGCATCTTACCTATATGAACTCAGAGACTGCATGTGCGGGGAACCGGAAACTTTGGTACAAAGCTTCCTCATGACAAAAGCCAAATACGTTTTATTGATAACTCCCACGAATTAAACATAAACGAATAAGAAAATTACTTTTAAGCACACAAACTAACACATTTGTTAGTTATTGTTATTCCAGATTGGGGCTTATAAGGTCCTTTGAGCCGATCTAACCTATAACTAAATAAACTCAGAGACCGCATGTGCTGGGCACCTGAAAATTGGTATGCAGCCTCCTCTGGACGAAAACCAAATAAAATTGATGAAATTTTATGTCTGCCTCCCACGAATAACACAGAAATTAATAAAAAATATCATAAATGAATTACTTGAATTACAAACACACATACTTGTTTGCACTGCCCAACCTTAGAGCATAGGTACAGGGTATTTACTAGCCAATCTTACTGCTGGTTTTTTATTATCTTTGACTATTTTGGCAAATATTTACTGTTGGCCATTGCAAGTGTCAATTTATATCGATATATAGACAATTTTGTATTTTCATTTTTATTCCCATTGATTTGTTTTTTAGGGCAATGCCAAACGGATCTGATAAAATACTTGGCATAACTTCGATGGGTTATCATCAGCAATTGGTTGGGTTGGGTTGGCTGGGCTTGCTTCCAGTTAAATTGTTTACATTGACATAACTTGTGATATAACTTGTCATTTTTAAACACATTGGAATTTTAAGTTGATGGCTATCATATGTTACGTTCTTCAAATATTATGCGATAGTATCAATAAACAGCAACAAAAAAATAGTTTATAAATTACGCAAACAAATACAATGTAACAGATCGTACGTGCATTTAATTTAGATATTATTACGCCTGCGACTAAAAACATCTGTTCTTTTAGAATGTTTTTTTGTTGTTTTTAAACAATATTTTAATTGTTTATTTGGGGGAATTTTTTTTTGATCGTAAAGTTTAGTTATTAAAATACTCACCATCAGGAGGTAAATAATCTTGGCATAGACCGTAAACTGTGGTAACCTGCAAATAAATGACAATTTTAATATGCATTACCATATAATTATATGCATTAATTATATTTTAAGCACAAGTTTTTCAAAAAGCGTTCAATGTACTTCCCCCCCCAGAGATTGAACCCAGACGAATTGCTTGTTAAGTACATTTGGCAATTGCTTTTTGCTGCCAGCTTATCTAATGCAAAAACGGAAAAAAATATGCCTAGCCCCAGCCCATAATAATTTTTAATTTATACTCCCATTTCAATTCGCGTTATTTGGTTTTTCCAGGTAAACTTTTGGTGGTACTTCCCCCATGCACCGTTGCTGCACTGCTGCCCGGGTAAGTCTGGCTCATAATTTAAGTGCTCAGCTCTAACACCCACTGCTAATAACAATTATGACAAGATATTAGACCACAAAACACGTAAGCATTCCGTTTTTTTTTCATTCACGCCCCATTTTAGCTGTAAGTCAGTTGTTTTGACAGACTGTTTGACATTTATTAAGTGGGCCACAAGGATTGCAATTTGGCCAGATAAATTCTTAACAATAAATTCACTGAAATTTATTATGCAATTAGTTAAAAGTATGCCCCGGCAAAGCATAAATTTCACACTGACCGACAAAAGAAAAAGGCAGCGCACACAAGGAGCCAAAACTAATTGCCCTGCGCCAGCTGCTGCTCCTGTCAGCGGAAATAAAAGCCAAGTGAAAGACGGCTAAAGAATTTGTAAAAGCTGTATGTTGGCCCAAAAATCCACAAGAAACATTTTCAAGTGGCTTGCGGAATGACCTTGGCATTCTTATGTAACCGAATAACAAAAAGTGTAAAAAAATGTGTTGTTACCAGTATTAAACTTAGGCTAAATCAAATATGTCTGCTTAAACAATATTAATTTAGCCAACTAAATGCAATTTAACCTTTTTTATTGTTGATTATTCAAGCTTAACATTTAGTTCTAACTAAGAACTTGCGCTTGGCATTGGACAGCATATTTATTTAGTTAAGTTAATTATTCGGTTATTGTTTTATTATGAGTTTTCGTAATTCGTATATTAATAACGTTATTAATAACTGTACGTACGTTAAGGATTACGCAACACTGTTTTCCTGACAGTCTGGCAACTCCATATTTATTTAGCTCAATGAATATTTATTAATTGCTTTATTATTGAACATTCAAACTTATTAGATACTTCTAAAATTATTTACAAAAGATTGTTCTACTGGCAGACTGGCAACTCTATATTTATTTAGTTAAATTACTGAGATATTATTTGTTTTATTGTTGAACATTCAAATTAATTTCACAACACTGTTTAATTGACAGTCTGAAAACCCCATTCTGTATTGCGAATGTGTTTTGAAGTGAAAATCTTTGAAAATATTGAAGCTTCTGTATAAAAAATTCAATTTAATTATATTGTCAAGTTCATAAAATGGAGAAATTTAATAATATATTAAATATTAAAATGCTGGCATCAGAGATTTTATTTGAAAAATATTCAAAAGTAAACCCTCATACCTCATTATTTCAGTTAATTTAATTTCACTTAAGAATTCAATTTGTTCAGACCTTGGCAAGCTCAAGAACCTTGAGAAAACGAGCAAAAAATTCCAAGCATATCTCACGCAAGTGCTGCAAACTTGGCCCGTGAAAACTTGTTAGCCCCACCCACATTGAAGCCCCTGACACACTTGGCCAACAGGCCAAAAGTTCAGTTAAATTGAGCTGCAGGGTTTGTAGACAAACTTTAATACAATTGCAATTGCAAAACGATAGACGAAACAGGGAGACGTTTCTTGGCCTTGAGGTTTGCATTGGCATTGTTTTTACCATAATAGTTCATATCTTTGACACGATAATTGCCGGGTCGCAGATACGCCGGAATGCTGTTGTTCTCCAGGTGAAAATTGCGCAGATCATAGTAGCCCTGGAATAGGGATATTAACTAATGGCTCGTAATGCTGCTCGTTGTGTCAACCTACAGCCTTCATGGGACAGATGCTCGTTAGATTTCCGTATTTGCGTAGGTTGCGAAACCAGATGTTGGTCAGACCGAACTGCAGCAGATCTTTCATGGCCTTGCAGCTGTCTACGTCATAGCTGAAGAGCGTATAATAGTTGGCCGAGTTCTCGATTTGGTACTGCACCGTTATAGACGTACGCATGGCCAGGGGCAGGTTGCGTTTTATATACACATCCACATTAAGATTGCCCTCGGGCGAGAGCCAGCACGACATATTCGTAAAGAAGTCGGTATTGTGCTCAAAGCTTACGTTTGTGAATTTACCACGTGGTGCTAAGCCTTGAAAGAAAGAGGATTTTATAGGGTATTCTCTTTTTTAAAGGACTCTTACTCTGCGCTGTCTGCACCTGAAATGCAGCGAACAGCAGCACGTTAACGAGCATCAGATACATGACTTTGCTACTCAAGTGTCGGAAGTTTACTAAAAATAGAATTTACTAATAGACCCATTGGATGGGCACGACTGAGCTAGTAATGAGCTCTCTGTTGAATATCAGCTTATAAAGAATGTGGATCAGTCATTAGCTGATTTTCGGAATATCAGATGAAAATAGGAGTCTACTCTTATAAACAGCATCGCAATTTTACATGTCAATAATCGGCGTGATATCAGGTATAATCTTTGGGCTTTTATGCTAAAACAGAAACATATATGGCCTGGGAAATTAGTTGCTTGAATTAACTCAGTAAGAGCGCTAGCTAGAAAGGGAGAGAAAGAATATGTGTGTTCTAAAGTTTGTATAAAAGTGGTTCAAATCGAAAACTCAGGAATTTTTTAGAATATTCTGCTGACATTCAGTATGAGCATACAGAAACACACATAGCTCTATATAAAACCATTTTCGTATCGTTAGGTTTCTGTTCTATATCTCAGGATCTTTTTAGCTATGCCGCTAAAATTTGGTATATATATTCAAGAAAATCTTTTAAACATATATACATACGCAAACTAGTTTAAAATTCTAAACCCGCTTCAAAAACAGCTAAAAACAGACTGCAAATACTGCCAAAAAGAAGAAACTTCAAACAATTTAGTTTCATGTTTATAACGAACTAGCCGCGCGCTGTTGACAACTGGATTGAACCAATCAAGTGTTCAACTGTAAATCTAGCAATCAATCAAATGCTTTCAATCAGCCAATCAGCAGCTTCAAATTGATTGACAACATGTTGACAGTTACATGCGAATTGAGCTGCAGCTAGTTTGAGTTTTGGCTTTGCCAAGGGGTAATTTGCGACCAGGTGTGAGTGTGTGTGTGTGTGTGGCTGTGGGGCTGCGTGTGTTTGTGTGTGTGAGTGGACCCCCCATACTGATTTAAAGCGGCTGCCACATAAACATTCAAGTTCAATTTCTTTGGCTCTTTGGCAGAGTCAACTGCAACTGACAAGCTAACCGTAAAGCAAACTGAAAGTTGTTGCATCTAACAGATACAAATGACGTTGATGTTGCTGCTGCTGCTGTTTTTGTTGTTGTTGCTGTTGCTGTTGCTGCTGTCATTGTCGTTGTTTGCCAAAGCGGCGTTTAATTGGAAACACAGTTGGGTGTTGGTTTTGACCGGTCTCTGGCCCCGGCTGCTGTCTTCATCAGCATCAAGCGCGCCACAGCAATTGTGAAGCGCGGACAGCTGATGGATGCGGACATTTCGATTCATTCTCGACTCCAGGCCAGGCGGCAAAACCCGTTTCACAAAAAAAAAAATACTAATCAAATGTAATATTACGCATACGCCACGACTTACCGTCGCGAAAGAAATGCTCGACAGTCGTTTTTTTTTTGGCTCTTGATTGCCGCACACTGAATTCAGAGTTTTTGCAGTTTAATTGCAAATTATTCAAATGCTCCACAGACGGCGAGTTGGGGCTTTGCAGCTGCCGCGTGTCTGCCGCCTGCTGCTGTCATAACCAGTCGCCCCACTGGCCCCACCCCCAATTGCCACTGCGCTCACCCCGCCCCCCACTCCCTCTTTGTTGCTCTCTGCAATTATGTCTGAAAATTTACAACAAAAGCAAAATGAGAGAAAAAATATGTGAAATGTGTAAAAAAATTTCCAACGTATTTTTCTCGTTTGTTGTCAAATGAAATTAGGCGTGAAATGTAGTTTGAACTTTGGCTAAAATATTTTAACGGCCACACAAATTTTATTTTTTTTTTATTTACTTTTTTTTCTCCACATTTTATATGCAAGTGTTTTGTTTAGGCGCCACGTGCAATTTTTTCTTAACGCTCGACAAAAAATGCACATTCATTAGGTTTGTTTTGTTTTTTTTCTGGTTGATTTGCTCTCTTTTTGTTGTTGTTGTTGTTATTGTTTCTCTCTGTTTTTTGTTAATTACTGCATTTTCAGATCATAAACGATATATCGGTTTGAGCAGCGTGTTTGTTGTCAGGCGGCGATATCAATATTGATATTCTTAAGTTGATAAAACGTCAATGCACTTGGCATTATCTCAATTGGCGGCAGGCGAACACGCCATTCTGAATACCCTGTACGCTGAAAGAGTGACTGAAAGGGTGTGTGAGGCTTGTGCAAAGGGTATTTGACAGACAGACAGGAGGAAGCTCTGAACTTCTTTTACCACATACTTAAGTCTAAAAGAAATTGTTATATTGAATTTATTGTTAATGCCGATTGTTCACGCACTTTGTAACTTGAGATAAAAAACAATATTGAAATTTAGTAATATACGGAAGATGTAAGAGAAAGAAATTTTGCTATGTTAATTGTGAAGATGACGATTTAATTATCTGCGTGTTACGTATACGCATCGTGTACCATAATTAATTATTATTCAAAAAATTGTTTAAAAATCGGCTAGTGTACAAGTAGTGCCGGACTAGGGGATACTCTGAGCATTTGTGGTGGCGGTAGCTATAAAGTTAAAGATATTTGATCTGTATATACTATTCTGGAAGCTACATTTGTTAAATTTGACTCTTTCTCTTGAAATCTAAGACATTTGCTCAGAAGACAGGATTGCGATATCTATTTTTATCGATTGCTTAGAAAAGGGCAAGTTATCGATTATTGGAAACAGATTCGTACTGCGCTACGTACCTACGTTCAAAATAAGGTCTCACACAAACGGACGGACCGACAGACTGATAGACAGATGGACGTACAGATAGACGGACATGGCATCTGCCTGTTTCAAACAATTGCACAAAAACATTATACCCTTTTACCCATTTTCAATGGGTGCAGGGCATAATTATACCAGCTTCTTTTGTGTTTTGGGTGAATACAGGGTAACTACAAGTCGATCTATTCGTGTTGCTTATGCAATTAATAATTTCCAGTAGAGGATAGTAGGCTACTGTTTACAGGGAATATGCTAGCTGGATTGTAGATAGGCAGAATAGTTAGGTAGGCATAGATTTAGCTATGTTTACCAGTTTATAGGGTATCTGTAAGTCGAGAAACTGCTGAGACCTGTGAATTCTTGACTAGTTAATATGAACAATGCATTCGTGTTAAACAAACTGGGCACACCAGAAGCCACAATGCGGGCCCAACACGTTAACATGGCCAATCTGCAGCAGTTGCAGCAGTTGGTGCTGCAGTTACTGCTGCTGTTGCTGCTGCAGTTGCTGCTGCTGCTGCGTCTTAAGTTGCATTTATATGCAAATAACTTAAATTGTTTTCAATTTGCCTTGGCCGCCATATTCCTTGAGCCAAGTTGCAGCTAATTTTATGGCTAATTGTCTGCTTGGCTGTTGCTGCTGCTGCTGCTGCTGCTGCTGCTGTTGGTCGCTGTGATTGCTGATGAAGTTGTGATATTTGCGATAAAAAATGTATGTGATAAAAATTATAAAGCGTCGATAGTTATGGTCAGGAATTTCTTAATTGCCCATAGCAAACAGGCAACTAGGCAGGCCGGCATACCGTCGGGCAGGCGGGCAGGCGAGCGGACAGTCAAAGCCAATCAGTTGGCAAACAGGACAACAGCCACGCGGCAAAATGTCAAAGACACTAAAAGCTTTAAATTCAATTTTTAAGTTGTGTTCGCCTTTTGGAAATTGTCCGTCTCGATGTTAACCTAGTTTTTTTTTGTAGTGGTCGCCCCCCTCTCTCTCTCTCTCTCTCTCTCTCTCCCTTATTCTCTATCTCCCTCTCCACTTGCGACCTCATTCACGCAATTCAATCAATTCAGAGCATGACGAAAGCCCAGATTGTCCTTTGGTTTTGTCCAGTTGAGTTATTTACTTAGATAAATATCCATTTTCAATTTCCTTGGCAGACAAAGTAGCTGGCTTGGAAATTAATCAAGCTTGTGGCGATGCGGAAATTCATTTGTGCTGCTTTCTGCTTCAATTTGCAATTTATGCGACGACTGTCGCATTGCGACAGAAAAATATATAATTTCAGAATTATTCAAGTGTGTAACCAAAAAAAAAAAAAAACAAAATCAAAAGCAGAAAAAAAAGAAGGAAAATCAAATGAAAAATCAATGCACAAGTTGTATATACAAGCAGATATACATTTTAGTAAATACAAAATAAAGGAAAAGCTATATAAAAAACAAATATTAAAAGGAAGATTAAATAATAGAGGGAGAGAGATTAAATAATACAAGGAAGATAGTAAGGCTTAAATATGCAGAATATACAATCAGATATACATCGTTGTTATTGTAATAAGCGAAAATTATAATAAAAACAAATATTAAATCGAATTCTAAGATTACAAAGAGGAAGATAAAATATTCTTATAATACAAAAAATAAGGATTCGATATCTAACTCAGAGCTTGTTTAATATAATAATTTAATATTCATACAATTAAATATAAAAATCCCTTTACTTCATTTAAACAAATGCTCTATGATAATTTGCTAGTTAAGCTGCAAAGTTGATTGTCTAATAAAAACGAATATTATTATTTAAATATAAATAAAATGATGAAATTGAAATATATTAGATTTTGCTTAGTTCTAGGGAAACGTGTTAAACATGTCATGCCAGAATAATTTCAATTCAAAACATTTGTGTGTAAATCTGTGGCAAGTTGTGTTCATAACTGGACTGAATCCCAAATTATATTGTACAATAGCCTTCGAATTTTCCAATTCAACGAGCTTGACAAAACAGTTAGTTGCATCACTTTGCATACGAGTTCATTAGCCTGAACTAAGATTGATTGCTTTCAGGTGCTTTTCAATTATCTCGGGGTATTGCCCAATTTAGGTTTATTTTCTGTTAAGCCCGCTCCTTAATTACAACCATGTAAAATGCACACTGAACTTAGAGTTGGGAGCCGGTTGATTAATTGCGTTACTTCTCAGGTGTCAGACACTTGTCACCAGAAGCCACTTGACAGCTGAAGTCCCAATAATCGTATTATTTTTAGGCATCCAATACCTATAAATTGCGTTTTATCCAATATACTAACACGAGGCGCGCACGTTTCCCCCACAGCCCACAGCTCCGACTGACATTATAATAAATATCTGCTCGATGGCCCTGCGCCGATGGGTCCGAGGGCAAAGCGCACCCTGCGTTCAGTTTCAAGAGGGCATTACGAATCGCAAGTGCGCAGTACGAATTGTTCGATATATCATATCAATTTGCATTGGGTATGGAAGCGAAATGTTTATGAGAATGAAAATCATGTAATGCAAATGTGATTGCCATTTTTATGAGCCAACAACGGCTCGGTAAATGTAATTGTAATTGTAATTGTAATTACATTGTGTGGCATTTGTTGTAATTGTTGTAATTGAGTTGCGGCTATCTGATTATAACATTACTTTAGTTTAGTAGATTGCTCAACACGGCTGACATAATGACAAGTTTGGCGGGCGTCTTTGAATATCAATAGTGTAGAAGTCATACAGCAAATCAAGAAGACAGATTATGCGGCTCTTAAGAAAATGTTAATGCCAAACCGGTTCACAACTTCATTTGTATGCAATTCAGAAAGCGCTGAGTTGAGACATTGGCTTCCAACTTGTTGGTCTTTCAAATGCTTATGGGTTTAAAAGTTATAATTGGTTTTAATTATAATGAAAGGTGGGATTATCATATTTTAATGTTTATTTATCACGAAATTATTATCTTTGATATAAGTTGTGTATTAACAAATTAATTTTTGTTTTCAACTTAATTAAATAAATAAATATGAATTGAATGCCTTTACGTGGGAATTGAATCATCAACCAACCGCTTTAATTTTCTGTGGATGTACTGATAAATGCTAGTTTCAGTCCGAATTTTAGGAGCCCAATTTAAAGAAAAGTTTATATGCAGTTTTTCTTATGAGACAGCTCAGACTTTATTAAACCCATTCCGATCTCAATCTCTTATGCTTGAGTCACATTAAACAATATTCAGAGCATTCCAGGTCTAAAATGTTAAGCTTTTTCCCTTTTGCTATATTTCGGCAAATTTGGTTATAACATGACAGGTGGGGTATTTATGAAGGCCACGCTTAGTCAAATATGTAAATCGTCTCTACTGCACCAGTGTAAGATGTTGATGTCCTTCAAATTACGCTGCATATATCAAAAACTCAATATCTGTACTGAGTTGAGCCCAAGATTTTTTGAATACCAAATATAGTATGTATCGTATTATATCATCGAATAAGAGTCATGGAATAGTTCTAATCAACATCTTAATCTTTTATTCAACTCCTTATGAATAGACTCATGATGCAACAAAATAATTGCTCTAGTTAAAGTTTCAAGACTCTCTCTTTTTAACACAAAGTAGATCATATTGTTTTCCAGTTATGATTACAAAAATCTAGTCTTAAATTTGACTTATACTTTATTTAGTATTGTTATGAGATATTTTGGATGAGATATTTTTACATTTTATTTATATTATATTCAATATTTTGGAATGAGATATCGATATAAAATGAAAACCTCTTTCTGCGTATGTTATACG